CTGTTGAACGCCGAAACATGCATGTCTGCAGATTGTACTATTACGCTCCTTCACTTCGGTGTTGTTGAGCACTCTGCGGAGTTGTTAATGGGTGTCTATCAGCGATAATGCAAAGCTCACTTCCCTTGTGGTCGTTTGAGCACTCTGGCCCCATTACGCTCTGCGCATGTCTGAATGCGTTGAGTCACCGTGTTGTACCACATGCCTTGGTGAGAGCAAGTTCATGGGGTATAAATACGAGTGTCCTACGTATGTAGACGTGTACCAAGCTGCACTGACGAGGCGTTGAACGCCGAAACACGCATGTCTGCAGATTGTACTATATATATATATATATATATATATATATATATATATATATATATATATATATATATATATATATATATATATATACTACACATTATGCCTAAGCCTTTATGCGCACGCTCACTGCATTTCACAGTTTAAAAACGGCGATAAGGCACATAAGTAAAGACATTGTAGCGCCCTTCAAGGAAAGCTCAAACAACGGCAACTGTGGACAGCTGTTTCGCCCTTTTTGGGGCTCATCAGCACAGTGTGGTGGATGTGGGATATATATATATATATATATATATATATATATATATATATATATATATATATATATATATATATATATATATATATATATATATATATATATAGTATATAAAAGTGACAAGTAAGTCATATCTCGAATACGCATGCGTACTACATGTCGTAGTTTTCAATCAGCGTAAAGAGCCATGAACGGACTATGACTTTAGTGTGTCCTGCTCACATTAGCAGCTGTGGACAGCTGTTTAATTCGCCCTGTTGGGGCTCATCAGCACAGCTCTAAGCCCCCCTTGAATATAAGCCCCCAGAATATAAGCTGTGCTGATGAGCCCCAACAGGGCGAAACAGCTGTCCACAGCTGATAGTGTGAGCAAGACACACTAAAGTCATAGTCCGTTCATGGCTCTTTACGCTGCTTCCAAACAACGACATGTAGTACGCATGTGTATTCGAGTTATGACTTACTGTACTTGTCTCTTTTATAATACTTTTTGTGTGTCCCACATCCGCATCCTAACTTGTCCCTGTATATATATATATATATATATATATATATATATATATATATATATATATATATATATATATATATATATATATATATATATATATATATATATATATATATATATATATATATATATATATATATATATATATATATATATATGTTAGTTGTGTAATTGTACACTCTGTAATATGTTAAGGACATTTGCAATAAAACATTTTGTTGCTTTATCTGAAAGAGCATGAAAAAATAAGCCGAATGGCCGTTTACTGCTCTATTCTATCTCATCTGGTTCCGAAGTTATACGCAAAAATGTGAAAAATATAAATTGCTGATTCAGCACAACGTGTGACGTCATTGGTTGGGTAAGTATGTTTATTGAATAGTAAACTGAAGCATTGCTCAGTTATTATTGACTCAAATCAAATGAAATTTTGCATACGGATAGTACATGATGCGACGCATGGAAAAATACTGCTAATTTTGTTGTCAAGGCAACACAGTCGTTCCCAGGCCCCTTATATTGATTTTGAATAACTAGTTGCATTTATCTATGTGTATGTCATTTTCGAATTATTATTATGCGAGTAAACTTTTGGCATGCATAGGTATGGTACACATACTTCTGATATTATTTTATTCTTATAAGTACCATAAATGAAGCTGTTTTATAAAATTGGAGCAAGAGGCCTGGGAACGACATTGTTACCTTGGCAACAAAATTAGAAGTGTTTCTCATTGCGTCTCATTATGTACAATCAGTATGCAAAATTTCATTTGATTTGGGCCAATAATAAGTGAGCTATGCTTCAGTTTAGTATTCATTAAACATACTTACCCAACCAATGACGTCACACGTTGTGCTGAATCAGCAACTTATATTTTGCACATTTTTGCGTATAACTTCGGAACTAGATGAGATAGAATAGAGCATTAAACGGCCAATCGGCTTATTTTTTCATGCTCTTTCAGATGAAGCAATAAGATAGATGAAGCAATTTTTGTTGCCAATCTCCTTTAAGTATATATATATATATATATATATATATATATATATATATATATATATATATATATATATATATATATATATATATATATATATATATATATATATTATATGTTAGTTGTGTAAGATGAAAATGTTCTAGAGTGTGTACAACTAACATAACACTTGCAGAACCAGTATTGTTCGATGCTGAATTAATATAAACGAGTATGTTTATGACATTCAGTATATATTTCATAATTTCCAGTCTTAAATCCGTCTGACCGTGTAGCTCAGTAGGTAGAGCGTCGATCTAGTAATTCGAAGGTCGCGGGTTCGAGACCCAGCCGAGGCAGACAACATCTTTCTGCTTGCGCTGGGTATGGAAATTATATAATACACACTCTAGAACATTTTCATCTTAATATATATATATATATATATATATATATATATATATATATATATATATATATATATATATATATATATATATATATATATATATATATAAACTATATATGTAATATAAACTATATATATAAACCGTAAACTATATAACTACAGACGGTACCGTTTCGGCCTAATGGGCCTCATCAGTGTAGTGCTGATGAGCAGGATGAAAGTAACTCTTATTTATAGTTACCTTTGATGCCTCACGATTGTGGGACATCAAAACCATGCCAGAGCGCTCAAACTGCAAGTAGTGAGCGTGCGCAATGCGTAAGCGGCATGGCTCATCCTGTAGAGCGCTCAATATGACCTAAAGGCCATAGGGCGATATCTAACTACAGACGGTACCGTTTCGGCCCAATGGGCCTCATCAGTGTAGTGCTGATGAGCAGGATGAAAGTAACTCTTATTTATAGTTACATCAAAACCATGCCAGAGCGCTCAAACTGCAAGCAGTGAGCGTGCGCAATGCGTAAGCGGCATGGCTCATCCTGTAGAGCGCTCATATATATATATATATATATATATATATATATATATATATATATATATATATATATATATATATATATATATATATATATATATATATATATATATATATATATATATATATATATATATATATATTAATATATATATATATATATATATATATATATATACAGAGAGAGAGAGAGAGAGAGAGAGAGACAGAATGTCCAAAAAATGTTTGGTTGAGTCCATTGTATATCAAGCTACAGTTTCTACCAACGACAATAGTCCACCTCAAACATACTTTGGTCTGACTGAAAACTCTTTTAAAACGAGATATTGCAACCACAAAACCTCATTTACTTTGTACGAGAAAAGGAACTCCACTGAACTTAGTAAATATGTCTGGCAGTTAAAGCGCAGAGGAATTGAATTTAATATCAAATGGCAAACCTTGAAACGGGCCAGCCCTGCTTCGAATAGATGTAATCTCTGCTTGTGGATAGATGTAATCTCTGCCTGTGGGAAAAATACTTTGTTATATGTAAACCTGAACTGGTTACTTTGAACAAACGTAATGAATTAGTGTCTTCATGTAGACATGCGACAAAATTTCTTTTAGGTAACATTTAAAGGGCATGCACTCGAGACAGACATATTTTTGTTTTAAATATACCGCGCAACTTTAATAGCTTGGTGTTATGTTATGCGTTGTTAATACTTCCGCGTCCTGTCAATTTTATCAAGTAACAAAATAATTGCTTTACGTGCTTTGTAAATAGGATTAGAAAGCTTTCATCCACTTGTACATAAATACTGTAGGTGGTGTAGATAAAAGGCGGACGGCGGACGACGGACGGCGGACCGCGGACGGCGGACCGCGGAGCATTTTATTAACACATGAAAGAAAAAAAAAGAAAAAAAGCATTTTATTAACACACGTTTTAAATGATTTTTTAATCAGCATTCAATACATATGTATCATAGGATAAACGTTGTCTTTCTCGGGAAACGTTTCGAAATATTATAAAAAAGCGCCTTAGTTTTCGAGCTTCTGTTCTAGGCAGGGCTATTAATTAGATGACAATCACTTTAAAGAGAAAAACAATGATACCAAAGTTATCAACAATACAATTTCGCTTGGCTTTCAAAGATAACACCATAGGTCGCTAGAATACTGTTGCTTTATAGTAATACATTTGACATCCGTATTTTAACAATACAATTTCGCTTGGCTTTCAAAGACAAAACCATAAATCGCCAGAATACTGTTCTTTAGTAATACATTTGACATCCGTATGAGCGATAAAAATATCA